GAGAGAGAGAGAGAGACAGACAGACAGAGAGAGAGACAGAGAGAGAGAGAGAGAGAGAGAGAGAGAGAGTATTGCTGAAGAGCAGGTGTATTGTTTTAAAGAAATATTCACTTTGAACCAATTTTTACAGTTCTCAATGAGTTGTTGGAGGGTGTCTCTTCTTTACGTTCCCACTTTTGTTTGAAACTTGTCTGTCTGTTTTCCAGTTTTAATACAAGTGGACTCATTCTCATGAGATTGTGGGTTTCGAGATTCGAGGCTTAGCTCCGTCCAACGTTGTGTCCTTGGGAAAGGCCATCAGAGACTATACGTTACATTTGGAGCTTCCTCTTCTTAAATAACCATACACTATTGCAAAGGGCGTTAAGCCAATAGAACTTCGTACATTTTCAGCCTCATCTAAATGGCAGTGGTTGTGTCGATGAGCTTCTCTTTATTCCTACGGTACTAGAATGGGAACTGGTCCTGATCGGGTGGGTGGTTGGCGGGTGCTCTGATGTGGTATGCTCCTTTCATTTCACACCTCTATCATCATTAGGGCCTACTTATCTCTCCATGTCCTTTTTTTGGTGTTTTTTTACTCTCTAGTAACATCTCTAATTTTCGGCTATTATCCTAGCTGGTGCCATAAAATGCTTACAACCCCCCCTCCCCCGCATGAAAATACAAAACATCAACAACAACAAAAAGCTAAAAACACACAAACAAAACAAATAAACTAGCAAACAAAAAACTAGAACAAAAACTCTTGTAACGCTTAATCTTCGGCACTTTATTACTAAAAAAACCAACATTTTGTACCGCCTCTTATCTCGGCAGTTATTTGGCGCAATTGTATCGTTGTAACCTATGGATAATGCGCTATATAAAAGCCTTGTATTATTTTTATTACTAATATTATTATTATCATTATCATTCTTCTGCTTCTTGGTATTATTTTATTATTATTGTTGTTACTATTATTATTATTGTTATTATTATTAGATTAATATTATTATTATCATTGTTATTATTGTTATTAACTGACTGCAACTGACGGTGTCATCTCTGTTGTGTCTCCTTCAGAGTGCCCAGGACCAGCTGGTCCAGGATGTGTCTAGTACGGCCGTCCTCACGCCCCTGGATGATGACCTGGTTGGCGAGCCCCAGGAGGTGGACGACCGCGGCAACTGGTCGGGCCGCTTTGACTTCCTCATGTCGCTCCTGGGCTACTCCGTGGGGCTGGGCAACGTCTGGAGGTTCCCCTACCTGGCCTACAACAACGGCGGTGGTGAGTGGGGTGTTTTGCTGTGTGTGTGTGTG